AGGCAGTTTCTTTATTATTAGCCAATGAAAGCAACAGATAAGATACAAGCCCCACCTCCATCAGGGTGGCAGAAGAAACAATGAGTTTCCAAGCCACAAGCAGGAGGCTTAGTGAGGCCTCCCTACTATCTTACCAGCTGCCCCCAACGGCCAAACCCACGGGTCCAGAAGTCAGCCAAAATCCTCTGGCTTAGGGCTCTCAAAAAGTACTTCTTCTAGAGGGCTCTACTCAAACCCATTCCTCCTTGGAGCTCTACTACAAGGAAGTAGAAGGGAAAAAGGGGAACCCAAACAGAGCACCCACCCCGAAACTCCCATCCTTCCTTCTCCACTTAAGAGACGCAGGACTACAAGGAACTCAGGAAGATCCTTTTTATAAACTTCCACGGACGCCACAGGTAGCCTAGGGTCCAGGTCCACAACTCCAGGCCACTGCCAAGAATCCAGGCTGTGTTCTGGCCCTTGTAGAAGAGACACCGGGTGTAGCCTGCCTCGAGCCTCTATCCACCCAGTGCTTTTCGCCTTTATTTTTAAAACTAATCCCCGGCTGGATTCTCTTCTTTAGCATCAATGCATCCTACAGGATGCAGAACGCGGGGTGCGGGGACTTCCAAGGTCAGGCAGCCCCGGCCGTGGGCTTGCCCCCGGCCCGCCTCGCACCCGGCCCGCACTCACTTGGCCCCGGCAGCCTGGAAGAGTTCGGCCCACTGGTCGGGTTGGAAGAAACGCGCCGTGAACTGCGGTCCGAAGTCGGCGTAGCTGAAGCCGGGCGGGTAGTTTTCTTTCATGAAGAGCTCATAGGCCGGCAGCCGCTCGCCTTGCCAGTGCCACCAGAACCACTCGCTGCCCCATGCGGGCACCGAGAAGACCCCCCAGTGCACAAAGACCCCGAACTTGGCCTCATCAAACCATGTCGGCAGTGGCCGAGAGTCCAGGCTCTTCCAGTCCGGGGTGTAGCGGCGAGGAGCCCGGGCCACTGCCTGGGCCGCAGCAGCCAGCCACAGCAGCAGCGTGAAACCCACCGCCCGCCATTCACTTCTCAGCTCCCACATCCCTGCTTCCTTGTTTGTGCCTTGTCCCTCTTAACGCGCAAGCGCTCCCCTAGTAGCTCCGTCTCTCTGAGTAACGATTGGCTCAGATGGGAAAAGGGGCGGGATCAACCTTGAGGATCAGCATGCTGTCTGAGGCACCATATCTGGAGCGCCCTCTGGCGTCGGGAGAGAGAAGGGCACAAAGAGGCGTTGACAGCTCTGATCTATTGAATTTAAACTCCACAGTCTCCCCTTAAGGACTTAATTGCCGGGTTCCCTTAAGCGGGAAAGACCCAGGGTGTGCGGAGAACAGGGAGTAGCCCACGTTACTGCACCGATCTTCAGGAGAAGAATGAAACTAGTTTGTTCTATTTAGTGGCTATCTTTGCGCTATACATCCAGCCGGCAGGTGGCGCTTAGCCTATTGGCAGATTTGCACAAGAGATTCAGAAATAACGAGGTAGAAACACAAAGAAGGAACTTTATGAGGAGAAATGGCTGCTGAAAGAGGAAGGGCGGATGTAGTTATTTTGGCCTGTCTTTTAATTATTGAACTTACTTTAAAAACTCTGAGGCATTTAATCATTTTAATTTAATTTTAAATTGTAACTTAAATTTATTTTGAGATGGGGGTCTCATGAAGTTCAGGCTGACCTCGAACTTACAGCTAGATGACCTTGAATTACTGGTTCTCCCGCTTCTACCACTTGAGAACCAGGATTACTGATTGGGGAGGCACCACCACTCCTGGTTTTCTGCAGTACTGGCTTTTTGAGCCCCAGAGATTTGCCCATGCAAAGGACTGAGCTGCACCCCCAAATTCCTGGGGACGCTCAGAGAGCTTAGTGTCTACCTGCAGGAGATGGGGTGTAGGTTAGGAGTCCTTAGCATGTTGGAAGGCCTGCGGTGCGGTTCAGTTCAGTGCCCCCAAACAAGCCCACAGAGGGCCACTGAACACAATTTTTAGACTAGCAGGGCCAGAAAATTGAAAGCCAAGAGACCCTCTTTGCCTCAGGAACATCTGCAAGGTTTGCCAAGCCACCTGGTTCCTCTACAGTCAGCACATGCCCAGTAGGCTGTGTGTGTGTGTCCATAGCTGCAGGAAGTATGCAAGCGAGAAGTCAGGTGGTTCATGTGGCACAACCGTCTCCATAGTTGCCGAGACAACCACCACATGTCAGAGCAATAAGAGGTTTTACTGCTTCTTGATGGCACCCTCTTCCTATCTTTCCCAACTTACTGAGGAGAAAACGAAGGCAAGGAGATGGGCAGAGGGTGCCCAAAATGACGAAAGTATAGGCCGAAGATAGTCCCGGAATTCACAGCAGTAGAAACCTTCCCTCCACCTACTCTGTCTGGCACCTTGGAGAAAACCAGGGCTTGTGTTAACAGACTAAGCACTTCCTCCTTTGGGGAGTAATAAGGAAGCATAGGGTATTTTCTGTTTCTTCCTTCCCAAGGTAATGTTGAAATATGGTCTAAAACACTAAGCACAAAGGACTTTAAAAAAAAAATTAACTTCTCCCCTCATCCTTCCAAATAGTGTTAAGAATTTGCGGTAACTTTTGATGCACAGAACGTGTCTTGGGGAGAACAAAATAGGACCCCGTGACCTTCATTTGACCTAACAGAGAAACAGGCCGTCTTGCAGAGTTGGATTCAGAGCTGGCTTGAGAGTTGGCTAGAGGTTAAGAGCACTGGCTGCTCTTCAGAGGACCCAGGTTTGATTCCCAGTACCCACATGGCAGCTCACGGCTATCTGGAACACCAGTTCTAAGGGATCTGAATCTCCGTGAGCCCCAGGCACACATGTGGTGCGCAGACACACATGCAGTAAAACATTCCTACAGTAAAATAAAATAGAGAAAGAGAAGAGAAAAAAAGTGGCGTCTCACTTAGGCGAGGCTAGCCTTAAGCTTTCAGAAATTCCACCTGAACAACCTGTGTTCCCTCGATGTTGTGGCATTCCAACTTCAAACAAAGGTCCAACTAAGAGGTGGGCTAGGGAGAGTTCTGCTCTCTCAAGGTTATTGTCAACAGGTGTGGCTAATATCCAGACCTCGGGCTCCAGGAATTCTATTAGTGCACCGCTATGCCCAGCTATGGCCCTTCGTTTAGTTTTTATTTTGACTCGGGTCTCACCAGTTTGCCTAAACTGAACTTGAACTCCATGTACAGCTCAAGCAGGCTTTGAACTTACACTCTTCTTGCCTCAGCCTCTAAGAGAGCTGGAATGAGCAGGCCTGTGCCACCAGTCTCAGCTTCCCTGACTTCCTGTCAGAAGGTAGATGGCCGGTGTGGAGGCCCGACTTTGTGAGCCTATTTCCACCTTGACCGAAGGACAGAGAGTTCAGACTTGCCTCTCCCTGTTCAGTCGAGCTTGTGGCACTCCAACTTCAAACAAAGGTCCCTCTAAGAGGTGGCTAGGGAGAGTTCAGCTCTCTCAAGGTTATTGTCAACAGGTGTGGCTAATATCCAGACCTCGGGCTCAGGAATAGAGACGTTCCCACCTCAAGCAAGAATCTAAGGATCGGGCTGGAGAGATGGCTCAGCGGTTGAGAGCATTGCCTGCTCTTCCAAAGGTCCTGAGTTCAATTCCCGGTAACCACATGGCGGCTCACAACCATCTGTATATGAGATGTACAGAGAGATGTACTCTCTGTAATGAGGTCTGGTGCCCTCTTCTGGCCCGCAGGCATACACACAGACATTATTGTATACATAATAAAATTAAAAAAAAAATAATCTAAGGATCCAGCTAAGGGATAACTTTGGATTCCTTTAGGAGATAACTTTGCGTTCCACATAGGGAGTGGTTTGCCTACAACAGAATATTTTGATCTAGGATGGGTGGGTGACTTGGTTTGTTCAACCAACAGAGTATTTAACTGTAGTCCATGACCTTCATCTGGTCTGTTCAGTTCCTTGCAACGTGTTTTGTTGTTGTTGTTGTTTTTGTTTGTTTGTTTGTTTTTTGAGATGGGGTTTCTCTGTAGCTTTGGAGCCTGACCTGGAACCAGCTCTTGTAGACCAGGCTGGTCTCGAACTCACAAAGATCTGCCTGCCTCTGCCTCCCGAGTGCTGGGATTAAAGGCGTGAGCCACCACCTCCCGGCTATCATGTTAATGCAATCTTTTGTCTGACTCCTACCTTTTGGGGTCAGGGGTATTTTAAGCAGTTGGAAATGAAACGTGGGTGAATTTCAGTACTCACTGGAATTCCCTCCTGATACTTCTCCATTTTATTATTTTCATTCGCGTCTTTATAATCTTTCCTATGTTTTTAAATCCCTGCGCCTCTACCCTGGCAAGAGGTGTTTTTGTCGAGGCTGGTCCGCGACGATGGGTTTTGTCTCCCTCGTGGCTGGACATCTAGGACCGGCACAAAACCTGGTGTGCACATATTTATGACGCAGATTAAAGAGCACAAGGACAGGGGCACGTGGTTTTTAATATATTAAATGACATTGATGGAGAGCTTTCTGTTCACTGTGCCTGTGGTCCCCAGTGTTATCTCTCCTGTCACCGGCAGTGTCTTGAACCTCCCTCTGTTGGGGATGTTCCCTTAGTGAAGGTAAAATTCAGATACCCAGGGACATAGCGTGGGGCTGTGGACAGAGGATGTCAGCCTGTGTCTGGACCACAGCAGGAAGTCCCTCCACCTTGGCTCCTTCTGTTTGTTCCCCAGGACCAGAGTATGGAAGAGACAAGGAGGCTAGGTTAGCATCGCTGGAAACAATCTAGGACCCAGAGAATCTTTGTGAATATCTTGCTTCGCCCTGGAGCTAGGCTAGCTAGGAATACTGCTACATTAGACACAGCAGCTGTGACAAGGGCAATACAGCCCCCTCCAGACTGTACCTCCAGTGGGTCCCCAAGGACCTAAAGTCACATGACTCCAGGGCTTATCAGGGTGTCAAGAGGGCCCTTGCCCAACAGGATGCCCTGAGCTGATGGCTTGTGACTGTCTGAGCCGACACCCTTGAGCCTCAGCACAATTCTTGATCCTCAAGAGGCAAGGGTCACCTGAAGGTGAGGCCTCACTGAGCTTTACAGCCACGGAATCCAAAACCATGAAGAGGGAACCGGAGCTAGCTGGTCTCGCTGCCAATCATCAGCAGGACAGCCTGGAATCCACACTGTGGCAGCCGTGGGCACTGATGAACTTGCAGGCAGGGGCCACACTGGCCAGGGTACTCTGTGAGCCCAGGAGAACAAGTCCTTCATCTTCTCAGACCACCTCTGAGTCCTCTATTGCAGTCCCTGGAGGCCCCTCTTGCTTCTTGGTCTCTGGAGTCAGGAGGGTTTCCTGACTTGATGTAAATAGAACCTGTCTCGTCACAGGCCACTTTCCATAGACTGTGCAGGTCGGCATGACCAGGTCACCCTCCAACCGTGAAGCCCAGTGCTCTTTGGCAAAACAGGGTCTGTGTTTAGTCCCCTAGAGCTGGTTCCAGAAGGACGCAGGGTCTGGGACTCCTCTCTCCTCAAGCGAGAAAACTGATTCCTCACGCAGGCTGTTTCTAATAGGAAACTAGGTACCGTCAGCAATTGGAGCAGCCTGGACTTCTGGAAGCAGGCACCACGGTGGTTTTCACATCAGCCTCTGTCTCTGTAACTGAGGACCTTGGGGCTTCTTCTTTTCCCTCAGACCCGAGCCCTCGTAGATGCTTCTTCCAGCCGACCAGGCGGTGCTGGGCAGCGGAGCGGATCTCTCCACTTCGCAGGGCATAAATGATAGGATTGATCATAGAGTTAAGCAGGCACAGCATGGAACAGAAGGCAAAGGCCTCCTTGACCTGGTCACTCAGTGTGCTGACCAGGCTATGGGCCATGAGAGTCAAGGCAGGGAACCAGCATATGAGGAGAACGGCCAGAACCAGCCCCAGGGTCTTGGCCAACCTCACATCTAGCCGCATCCGAACTAACCCAGGCACCTGCCTGTCCTGGTGCTCTGCCAAGCTGGCTACATGTTGGTGGGCTTTCCAGAGAACATACCCGTAGGTGTAGATGATGCCAATGAAGAGAAAGGTAATGAAGAGGAGCCAGCCCAGCAGGTAGTCATTGGGGATGAGTGGGAAAAGCTCAGAGCAGGGACTAGGGCAACAGGTCCACCCCATGAGTGGCAGGTAGGAGATCAATGCCGAGAGGACCCACATGACACAAAGGGCCACCAGTGCCCTCCCACGGGTGACTAGAGCCTTGTAGGTAGGTGGGTAGCACAGACATAGGTACCGATCAACAGCGGTCAGCAGCAGGCTGCCTACAGAGGCTGTGAAGGTCATGGTCACACTGCCGATCTTCAGCAGGAAGACGGCCTTGGTGTCAACACCGTGGAAGACGTGGAAAATGACGAAGTTGCAGGCAAAGATGATGCTGGCCAGGAAGTCAGCCCCAGCCAGGCTGCCAATGAAGAGGTACGAGGGCTTCCTGCGGAGCCGCTGGGAGGACAGGATAAGGTAGAGCACCGCCATGTTCTCTAGGGCACTCAGCAGGCCCAGCAGGGTACACAGCACCGCCACAGCTATCTTCTGGGCATCACTCAGAATCATGTAATCCTTCATCGGGTTGAAGTCCGAGCCGCTCTCTGAGCCATTGGTCACCTCTGTCTCCCAGCATCCCTCCATGGCCAGGCTTTGGCCTCTACCAGGTCTGGCCCAGAAGACTCAGCTGTGGATGGGAAGAGAAGAGTCTTGGGATGTTAACAGTAATGTCTCCCCAGAGAGCCGACACTAATCAAACATTTACCCACGTGCTACAAATATCAATTTTTATTTTGTTGTTCGCCCAAGCCAGGACTTTCAGTTTCCAAGTAGCAGAAGTGACCTGCCAGGTTTTTGGTCTTTTGTTTTCTAAAGAGTCAGATCCTGAAACTTCCTTTTAAAACTACAGGGAGGGAGCTGGAGAGATGGCTCAGAGGGTAAGAGCACTGGCTGCTCTTCCAGAGGTCCCGAGTTCAATTCCCAGCAACCACATGATGGCTCACAACCATCTGTAATGAGACCTGGTGCCTTCCTTGCCAGCAGTACATTGTATGCTTAATAAATAAATAAATCTTAAAAAAAAAAACATTTTAAAACTAAGGGGAATTCCTGGGGCCAGCAACCAAAACAACAAAATCAGGAAGAAGAGGAAGTGAAGATGTAGGGATATTTTTTTCTTTTACTTATTTTTGGTATGTGTGTGTGTGTGCATGTGCATGCACATGCGTGTATACACTCATATGTGATGTGTATCTGCAGGCATGAGTGTGCCACAGAGTGAGTGTGGAGGTCAGGAGTGGGTTCTCTCCCTTTACGGTGGTGCTGGAAATTGAACTCAGGACGTCAGGCTTGCACACCAAGCACTTTAACTCACTAAGCCATCTTGCTGGTCTACTTTCTCTTTTCATTTTTGAGACGTGGCCTCACAAGGTAGCCTTGTGTAGAAGGAGAGGTGGGCCACTTCCCGCTGCTGCCCTGCTCCCGGCTAGCTTTACCCAAAACAATTACACGGAAACTGTGTTCATTTAAACACTGCCTGGCCCGTTATCTCCAGTCCCTTATTGGCTAACTATCACATATTGATCTAACCCATTTCTAATATCTGTATTGCCACTTGACTGTGGCTTACCTGCATGAGTCTAACCAGCGTCCGTCTCGGAGAGGAGAGTCATGGCGTCTGCCTGACTCTGCTTCTTTCTCCCAGCATTCTGTTCAGTCTACTCTGCCTATCTAAGTTCTGCCCTATCAAAAAGCCAAGGCAGTTTCTTTATTAGTAAGAAATCATTCCCACATCATTTCCCCTTTTTCCGTTTAAACAAAAAAGAAAGGCTTTATCTTTAACATAGCAAAATTACATATAACAAAACAGTTATAAAGCAAGAATTACGGTTACAATATTTATATCTATTTTTATCTTTATCATAACTAAGGAAAACTATAACTAACCATTCTTCACTTCCATCAAAGACTCCAGAAGGATATAATATTACCTAAGTGAACAAGAAATAAGCAACTTTCAAAACTCTAGAAATGACAGCGACATCTCACTCCTGTTTCAGGGTCCAGAGCAGCTGGGATTACAAACAGGCATGTAGGCATGTGCCACCAAACCTGTCTTCAGTTTCGTGTGTGTGTATGAGAGAGAGAGAGAGAGAGAGAGAGAGAGAGAGAGAGAGAGAGAGAGAGAGAGAGAGAGAGAGAGAGAGAGAGAGAAAAGTGTGTGTGTGTGTGTGAGTGTGGGTGTGTGTGAGAGTGTGTGTGTATAAGTGTGTTGCTGTCGTCGTCCCAGTTTTGGTAAGATACTAAAGGTTGACAACGATTTGGGGATGGGAAACGATAGTGCGGACTTCTCCTCACGTGTTGGGAAGATAAACTCTAAAGAGGAAATGTGTTGTGGACTGTAACGGTATCTGCTTTTAATCCCAGCACTCAGGAGGCTGAAGTAGGCAGATCTCTGAGAAATGGAGACCAATTTGAGCTACATAGTGAAATTCTGTCTCAAAAACAATTTTTTTATACTCATGTAGGGAATGTAGCTTGCCTAGCACGAAAAAAGCCCTAGGTATAGTCTCTGGCACTGCATAAACTGGGTGTGGTGGGGGCACACCTGCAATCTCAGCACTTGGGGTGGGGGTGACAGCAGAAGGATCAGGCCAAAGTCATCTTTGTCTTAGAAAAACAACTGTATGGGGACTGGAGAGTTGGCTCAGCAGTTAAGAGCACTGACTGCTCTTCCAGAGGACCGGGGTTCCATTCCTAGCAACCACATGATTTACAACTATCTGTAATGAGATCTGGTGCCCTCTTCTGGCCTGCAGGCACACATGTAGGCAGAACACTGTGTACTAAATAAATAAATAAATATAAATAAATAAATAAAGTTAAAAAACTCAACTGTACTATATATAAGATATAGAAGTCCTGTTAATTTGATTTGAATATCAGATAGTCATTTTTGATATAAGTATTTCTTTCTTTTTTTTTTAAACCAACAACTTTATTTCATGCACATTGGTGTAACGATGTCAGATTCTCTTGAACTGGAGCTACAGACAGCGGTGAGTTGCCATGTGGGTGCTGGGAATTGAACCCGGGTCCTCTGAAGGAGCAGTCAGTACTCTTAACCACTGAGCCGTCTCACCAGCCCCGATATAAGTATTTCTTGAATATTGAAGAAAAATACTTAGGACAACTAAACATTGTGCGAGACATTATTAAACTTAATAAGAAAGCAAACTAAATACTCCTCCAGAAAAACAAATTTCCTAAACAGATAATGTGGGATTTTCCCATCTAGAGGCCCATGGAATTTGAATTCATAAGCTCAGGGATGAGCAACGCAAGAGTTAGCAGGTGTGCCAGCATTTGCAAGAGTTTTTGATAACTCTTGGATATATTTTAGAAGGGTAAGGCGGTGGTGGCACACACCTTTAATCCCAGCACTCAGGAGGCAGAGGCAGGCAGATCTCTGTGAGTTCGAGGCCAGCCTGGACTACAGAACTAGTTGAAGCATGATTAATAAAAACTCAGAGAGAAAAACTGGGATACAACCTGAAGGTCTGAAAAGCAGGACAGTCAGTCACTGGCTCTCCCCTCGACCTCAGTCTGAAATGGCCATCCTGCTTCCAGGAATCTCACTCAGAATGAGTCGGTGCCTGAGAGCTGTCTCCTCCTGTTTTATAATCCTCTCTAGTTAAGGTGTGTGTCATCGCTGCCTGGTCTGTAAGGCTGGCCAGTGTGGCTGTTTTACTTTCCCAACCCCCCTCTCCAGGCAAGCTTTATTTATTAAAATACAATTGAAATGCCACCATAGCTTGTCCCAGGACAACCAGGACTATATGGAGAAACCCTGTCTCGATGAAACAATAAAGAAAGAAACCAAAAAGCATGAATGGAAAAAGATAAATAAAAATAAAAGAAGGGGTTGGAGAGATGACTCAGAGGCTAAGAGCTGTCCATACAGAGGACCTGAGGGTACACGGAGGCTCACAACCACGTCACCCTCCAGTTCTAGAGGCTCTGATATCCTCTTCTGGCCCCCATAGTGTACTTATACACATAAAATAAAATGAGCGAATCTTTAGTTGGGCGTGATGGATCATGCCTTGAAACCAGCACTCTCAGGTCGAGGCAGGTCTGTGAGTTCAAAATCAGCTGACTTACATAGCACAAAGCATGTTCAGGACCTTGTCTCATAAAACAAGAAGAAAAAAAAATAAGACAAACCAAAAAACTTACAAAACAAACAAACAAACCTAAAAGGAGACCGGAGGTGGAGGAGCTGGTAGAGAAAGGCGCTAAATCACTGCATCTCCCCAACCCTGGCACACACACACACGCACACGCACACATGCACACACATGTACACATGCACACACACGAGTGCATGCGCACACACATGTGCACACATTATGTCACACACACAAATGAATGAATGAATGAATAGATAAATAAATAAGTGTGATTTTGTTTTTGTTTTCTTGAGACAGGCTTCTCTGTGTACCCTTGGCTGGCCTGAAACTTGCTCTGTAAACAGGTCAGCCTGGAACTCATGCCTCTGGCCCCCGAGTGCTGGGATTAATAAGGGCAACAAATATGATTTTAAAATTAAGCAACATAGGAGGGTTAGGACCTGGTAATTGATTAGGTGTGTGACTTCAGCAACCTAAAGGCCTGTCTGGGTGACATTGAGTTCAGGCTCAGCCCTGACGCCTTGAAGACCTCATCTCAAAAATAAACAAATACATAAATAACTTGCAGTCCATATGGAGTTGAAGCCAGCCAGGGTTAATTCTATCTGTAGCCAACAAACCAAACAAACAACCCCCAAAATAAGACTGTCTGCTAAGAGACCTTTGTTGCCGAAAACGTCCCTTATCTTTTCAGCAGGAGGAAATCCAGTCTAGGAAGGAGCAGAGGAAGTCAGACGCTCTGGTGAGGTGATAAACTCACAAATGCCTTACACTTTTTAATTTCTTTGAGACAGGCTCTCTCTGTGTAGAACAGGCTCGCTTCCAACTCACAGGGATCTGCTTGTCCCTGCCTCTCAAGTGTGCAGTGAAGGGCCTGGCTCTCTGTGCCGGGCTCACTTTTCCTGTTTCTCTCCTGTGACTGTTGAGTTTTTGTGTGGATGAGCGTGCCTGTGCTCGTGTGTGTGGATGAGCGTGCCTGTGCTCGTGTGTGTGGATGAGTGTGCCTGTGCTCGTGTGTGTGGATGAGTGTGCCTGTGCTCGTGTGTGTGGATGAGCGTGCCTGTGCTTGTGTGCGTGGAGGCTAGGGGTCGACAGCCAATGCTTTCTTCAACCGATCTGCCCCTTATCTCTCTGAGGCTGGGTCTCTCTCCAGGAGTTCACCAATTCAGCTAGACGGGATGGTCGCCAAGTCCTAGGGATCCTTCTGTCTCTGGCTCCAAAGTGTTAATAATGACGGGTAGACATCATGGCTAGTTCTTTTGTTTATTTATTCATTTTTCCTTTTTTAATGCTTGAGTCAAAAAGAGCAAGCACTTTACCATTTGGGCCATCTCACCAGCCCCTTCATCTGTTTTGTCTTTCTTTCTTTCTTTCTTTCTTTCTTTCTTTCTTTCTTTCTTTCTTTCTTTCTTTCGCTTTTTGAGACACGGTTTCTCTGTGTAGCCCTGACTGTCCTGGAACTTGCTTTGTAGACAAGGCTGGTCTTGAACTCAGAGATCCACCTGCCTCTGCCTCACAAATACTAGGATTAAAGGAGTATGCTACTGTTCGATTCCCCGACGGGGCCCCCCAAAAAAAGGAGTATGCTACTACACCTGGCTCTGTTTTTCCTATTATCTATCTATCTATCTATCTATCTATCTATCTATCTATCTATCTATTTTTGTGGTCCTGGGGGATCAAATCTCAGGCCGTACACATTCACAAGCGCTCTACCACTTTTAGCCAAATATACATTGTCTAGATTTCCCCCGCCCCTCTTTCTTTTTCCATGTGGTCACAGGGAATATCAGCAGCATCCAGGAGGAGGATGCTCTACCTTCCAACCCACACCCAGCTGGCCATCTGCTGCCTCTGGGGAGAAACTTCACCTTCTGACCTCCTGGCCTTTTCTCCGGGGTTTTTCTGCCCCATATCCGTCCTGGACTTTCCTTTGGTTCCTCTGCCCAGTGGAGCCTTCCCGAGCCTGCAGCCATGCATCAGCCTCCCAGAAGGTTCTGCACGTATCGGCCAGTTTTACACACTGCCTTCCCTTCAACTATTCCAATAACCAAGAGTATGGAGTTTAATTTCTATAGAATATTGTTCTTGGGGTGGAGAAACAGGTTAGCTGGTAAAGGTGCCTGCCAGAAAGTCAGACAACCTGACCTGGATTCCTGGGACCCACATAAAGATGGAAGAAGAGAATTACCCCCATAAGTTGCTCCCTGACCTCCAGAAGCAAGCTATGGCATGCTCACACACATACACACATGCACATAAAATAAATAAATAAAAACTTAATAAAATTTTAAAAAGATTGTTTCCAGCCAAAAAATTGATTTCATCTACACAACACTATAACCTAAAACTTCAGGCTGCAAGGCTGCTGACTGGAGAGATGGCTCAGGGGACAAGATACCCTGGAAGACCTGAGTTCAGCTCAGCACTCTCCTTAAGAGCTGGGAGTGGCCAAACACCTGCCTCACCTGTAAATTCAGAGTTGGGTGGGGCTGACAGAGGGGTCACTGGAATTTGCTGACCACCAGCCCAGCTCTGGGCTCAGTCAGAGACCTTGTTGCAAGGGAATAAGTTAGAGATCCATAGAGCAGGACACACAACATCTGGTACGTGCACCCACACACATGTGTGCAGATGCACCACCCACATATACACCACACACACACACACAGACACACAGATACACAAATTAATAATAAGTAAATAAAAAAAATAAACTAAAAGTTCCGGTTGGGAGCGTGAGTCATGGTAGCACATACCTGTAATCCCAGCACTCAAGAGGCTGAGGCCGGACTGCCGTGTGTTTGAGGACAGGACATAGTGCGTTCTAAGGCTGGAGCTGCTGGCAGTTTGATGTTGGGTAGCGTAATGAGTTCAAGGCCAGCTTAGGCAACACAGCAAAACCTTGTCTAAAAATAAATAGATCAATAAAAAGTAAAACTAAAATAAAACCTTTAGGGAAGGCCTTACCCCCATCCAGAGCGAGCACAGACGATGGTGGCTGGGGTGGCTGTGCCTGGTGGCTGCGCCTCACCCGGCACAGTGTGGTGGCAGACCACTGTTACCATCCAGAGGAAGGGCAGGAAATGCATGCATTTGATGGACATCCTAACAAGGCAACAACAGGAAGCACAGAGCAACAGGAAACCCAGCTCCCGGTCCCCACGCACATAGAAACACTCCTTTGAGGCCACACTGATCTCCTAGACGGCCTAGGGCTGTGCTTGCTGCACGGAGACTGGGAGTTTGTCACACAGGCAGCCGCTCTGGTTCCATCTCTGTCACTCTCATCATGTGACTGTGGGCAAGTCCCTCTCCTCATCTGCGAAGTGACAATAACGTTACCCGCCCGTTGTTAGGGAGGCCAAGCGGACCGAGGACATCCATTGTAGTTTTTGAACCTGAGAGCTGGCAAGATCTTTTTGATCCTTTCAGAATGTACATAAGACCTGTCCAGCTTGGTATGGTAGTGCACTCCTTTAATCCCAGCACTTGGGAGGCAGAGACAGGTGGATCTCTGTGAGTCTGAGGATAGCTTGGTCTATGTGGCAAGTTTCTGGCCAACTACATAGTAAGGTGTGGTCTCAAAAACAGTTAATAGTACACACACACACACACACACACACACGTGTGCGGGCACACACACATGCATGCTCATTTTTAAAAAACTTACTTAATTTTATTTTATGTGCATTGGTGTGAGAGTGTCAGATCCCCTGGAACAGTAGCTATAGACAGTTGCCAGCTGCCATGTGAGTATTAAGAACCGAATCCCGGTCCTCTGGAAGAATAGCCGGTGCTCTTAACTGCTGAGCCATCTCTCCAGCCCATAAATGAAATTCGTTTTTTGTTTGTTTGAGACAGAGACAGGGTTTCTCTGTGTAGCCCTAGCTGCCCTGGAACTTGTTCTGTAGACCCGGCCGGCCTCGAACTCACAACGATCCGCCTGCCTCTGTTTCCAGAGTGCTGGGATTAAAGCCCTGTGCCACCACCGCCAGGTGATTCATCTGTCTTTTCAACATGTCATTGTCATTGTGCACCTTCAGAGCCACAGGCGTGTGCAAGGACATGATGAAGAGCAAGCTGTGGTCTGATGCTGGGTAGATGTCAGAACTAAAGAGAACCAATAGCCCCAGCCTCCACACTTCCGGAAGCGCCTAGCTCCGAAGCCCTGGTTCCTGGCAGTGTGTCCCTGCTGGGCTGGTATCTGGGGCTATAGCTGGGACCCCTAACTCCATCTGACTTTCTGGGGCAAAAAACTGGGGGTTGGGGAATTCTCAGAAAAAGGTGTGTCAGGCTTTTGTTTCCACCTGAAGTGAAAGAGGGTCACAGACGAGCTGGCCTCTCCATGCTACGACGCTGGAGGGGACCGGAAGTTCGTGACTGCAAGTGCCCACAGTGGGAGGCTGAGATTTGATGCCCCGGAAATGCTGAGATTTTTTTCTGGTGTTGGGGATGAAAGCCAAAGTATTTTGGCAAGTGGAGGACGTGCTCTCCCCCTGAGTCATACCCTAGCAGTCTCACTGTTCTTGTCTGGGACTGGGAACGAGGAGGTCTGTATTCTACTTCCTGTCCCGCCACTGAGTCTTAGGGCAGGCCCTCTGGGTTTTTCTTTTTCTCATCTTTGAAGAAGGTAGGGTTGATGGTGGTAATTCATAAGGTCTCTGGATTTCAATGTACCGTGTGTGTGTGTGTGTGTGTGCACGTGTGTGTGCACATGTGTGTATGTGTGCTCTATACATTAGAACCGGGGCCTCACAGTGTGTTAGACAAGAACTCTATCACTGAGCTACAACCTGGGCCCTCACTCTAATACTTAATGTCTCCTCTCCCCCATCTATAATAGGAAGACGTTTGTAATGTATGGACCCTCCATGCAAGTCTCCGCTGTGACTCCTTTTTCATCCCCCCTCCCCTACCCGCCTCTCTTTCTTTCTCTCTCTTGAGACAGGGTTTCTCTGTATAGCCTTGGCTGTCCTGGAACTCACTTTGTAGACCAGGCTGGCTTTGAACTCACAGATATACACCTGCCTCTGCTTCCCAAGTGCTGGGGTTAAAGGTGTGCACCACCACCGTCTGGCACTCTCCAGTGTCTAGCAATTGTTGAAGAAGTCACAGGAGTCTGCCTAGTGGAGCTAAATTCATCTCAAGCCTTGTTGATGTTTGATGTCCATCACCCTGCCCAGACTTCCCTGGAGTCTCCACCGACAGGTCGGACTCCTTCTTTGTGCCTGGACTGTATCTGTCTGTATCAAGCTTAACCACCACCCCGTCTGATGGAGTCCATTGAAAGGATGGCAGACACCTCTAGGTTTTACTGTTCCAGACCTGGAGTGCCAAGGTTTTGGAATGACACGTCACTGAGTCATGTCACTGAGTTCCGTCACAGACACAGGCTGTGTGACCTGGAGTCAGGGCCAGTCAAACTGAGCGTCCATGTCTTCTTTTATGAGTTGGGAATCCAGTCCCACATTCCGACACAGATTATTAGATTATTTAAAACTCAATAGTAAGGGTTAGGGAGATGCTCAGCTGGTACAGTGCCTGCCACATCAGTCAAAGTTTGATGCCCCAGGACCCATATAACAAAGCCAGGTATGAGCCAGGCCTAGTGGAACACACCCTTTAATGCCAGCACTCAGGAGGCAGAGGCAGGTGGATCTCTGAGTTGGTGACTGACCTGGTCTACACAGTGGATTCCAGGACAGCCAGAGTTACATGGTGAGAGTCTATCTCAATAAATAAATAAATAGGTAGGTAGAAAGATAGACAGACAGACAGACAGACAGACAGACAGACAGATGCTAGCAAAAGCCAGGTGTGGTGCTGTGGGTTTGTAATCTCAGCACTGGGGAGATGGAGATAGACAATTTTCTGGGGCTTGCTGCTCAGCCAGTCTAGCCGAAGCAGTGAACTCCAGGTTCAGTAAGAGACCCTGTCTCAAAATAAAGTGGACAGCATCTGAGGAACAACACCCAAGGCTGAGCTCTGACCTCTGTAAGTACACCCATGCAACAACAACTACAAAAACCTAAGCAGGAGCATGGCTGCCAGACGGAGCTGGAGACGGAACTGATATGACGCAAAGGGAAGGGCCCCGAGACGTTCAGGGTCTCAGCCGTGGCTTGGCCCAGTCAGTTCTGTGGGAAGCGACAAACACTACAAGATAAACTTCAATAATGGATTTGTCGGCTCTCTCCTATCTCAGACACGCATCCTGAGTTTGGAGCCACAGAGAACAGCTTTTAACCCACTCCAAAGCTGCGCCCACAGTCCGTTATTTCTTCCAAGAATACGAAGGGCAGGCTTCGTACCCAAGGTTTCCATCATCCTGGGCAGAATGAAGTGTTCATGGCCACTCCAACAAAAACCCCAGTGGGTTAGCTGGGTGGTGGTGGTGCACGTCTTTATTCCCAGCACTCAGAAGGCAGAGGCAGGCGGATCTCTGTGAGTTCGAGGCCAACTTGGTCTATAGAGCAAGTTCCAAAACAGACTCCAAAGCTCCAGAGAAACCCTGTCTCAAAAACCAAAACCAAAACCAAACCAAAACAAAAAACCCACAAACAGCAAGCAACAACAACAGAAAGAGAATAGAGACCTCAAAGCCAGCCCTACAGTGACACACTTTCTCGTCAAGGGCACAATTCCCAATAGTGTCTCTCCCTTTGGGGGCCATTTTCATTCAAACCACCACAACTGTTGAGCCATCTCTTCATCCAGAAATAACATAGCTTTGTTTTTGTTCTTTTTGGTTTTTCAATACAGGCTTTCTCTGTGTATCCCTGGTTGCCCTGGAACTCGCACTGTAGCTTAGGCTGCCCTCAAACTCAGAGATCTGCCTGCCTCTGCCTCACTAGTGATGGGACTAAAGGCATGTGCCACCACCACCTGGCTTAGAAATAACATCTCTTTAATGGAGATATCCTTACTGCCTGAAGAATAGCTGCTCCGACTCAGCCTGCTGAACTGGTCGCTGTGGTTAGAGTCTATGAAGAGCAAGTTTCCTCCGTCACAGGCACGAGGGACTTTGTATGTGCTGCCCTCTCATTCTCTGTTGTTACTCAGATCCATAGCTTCTATTCTTTTTCTCCTTGTGGTCCTGGAAGTTGCGCCTACAGCTTCCTGCACACCACGCAAGCACTGTACTGCTGAATTTACACATCCTCAGACCCTTTTTCTTTTTGAGATGCTCTCACTATGTAGCCGTGATTGGCCTAGAACTCCTTATGTAGGCCAGGCTGAGCTGTAACTCACAGTGATCCTCCTGCCTCTGTCTCTGAGTCCTGGGATTAAACACCTGGCCAATCCAGTCTTTAATTTTTTCTTTTAAGTTTTGAGACAGGTTCTTGTTACCTTGCCCAGGACAGCCTTGAGCTCATGATCCTTCTTCTTCTTCAGCTTTTGGAGTAGCGGGTCCTGTTATCTTTTCTTTAAAATCAAATTACTTTTTCTAACAGACAGTTGGTAATTGTGCATTTATGACAACATAGAAGCAGGGCAGCTAGAGCTACATGGGGAAATCCTGTCTCAGAGAGAGAGAGAGAGAGAGAGAGAGAGAGAGAGAGAGAGAGAGAGAGAGAGAGAGAGAGAAGGACTAGCCAGTGTGGTTCTCCCTCTCACTGGGCATCGCTTTGTACTGGGGAAATAGATCTTCATCTTTGATCAGGAATTGTAGGGAGACCTGGGTGGGAGAGTGTCATTGTGCAAATCCC